TTTTGCTTTTCTTCTTCTCCCTTCCTCCTCCATCTATCCCCTTTTCTTCCTTCTATCTTTAGTCCCTTCCCTTTTCAAAACCTCTCTCTTCCTTTTCGTATCATCTTTTATTCTGCTACATAATTTTTTTAAATTTTGGGTTGTCACATAAGAGAAAGCATGCAGCATTTACCCTCATGTATATGAGTTATTTCACAGAACCCTGTGGCCTCAGTGTGGCTCCCTTTCCTCACAGGTGACTCTGATTTCCTTTGTGCCTGCATGCCACTCAACTGTGTATATATACCACCTTTTCTTTATCCATTCATCTGTTGAAGACTGTGCATACATTCCTCCAAAAACTAAATTTAGAAATTCCATTTGGCCCAGCAATTCTACTTCCAAGTACCTTCCTGAAAGGGTTAAAGACGTATATTACAGCAATACATGCACAAGTGACACAATGTGATTTTGGTCACTTTAGATTAACATTGCAGAGGCCGGGGAGATGGCTCAGTGGAATAAGTGCTTCCCTGGTAAGTGCAAGAGCCTGAGTTCAATCCCCGGTTCTGAAAAAAAAAAAATAGATTAACATTGCATTTATTTATATGTATGTAATGGTCAGCTAGAATCTTTTGCAAGCTAAACAATTATTGAATTGCACTGCCTTAATGCATTCCATTTAATTTGGCATAGTTATGGGGGGAACTACCTTACTCAACAAATTTATGTAATATTCCTTCATTTTCCTTCTTTTTTTATCATACCACAAAAATCTTTTCATCTTGAGATCCTTTAATTTATATTTTATTATAGTTTATCAAGATTTTAATTTTTAGTTACATTTTTTGTTATATAGGTCTTGCTTTGTCTTGCTCTTAACCATCCAGCAGAAAAGTATAAAAATGAGGTACAAAAAGTAAAGTCGTATTAATATGCTGAGCTGTAAAAGGCTCAAGTCAACAACTTCTGACCTTGCCAGTCATGTGGATAACCCATTACTCTTAGAGAATACTGGACTATATTGGATAACTTTGCTGAATTCATGCACCTACAATATATTAATGGCAATGGAATACCCATCTCTGGCAAAAGTAAACAAAAAAAGGGGAATGTAAATGAAGGACCATTTTGTAGTAAAAAATATGTATATATATATATATGTATATACAAAATAGTTATCATAGATATACAGCTACTTTCTCTTAGTTCAATAAGAAGAAAGTTTTGAACTAATAGTGTTTAGACAAGATATCATGTGTGCATCTTGTACTATGAATAACTACTACAAAGACAAAAATACGCAATGTATGAATTATTGTAACTGTCCTACTAACCTGTTTTGAAACTGTCTCATTGCTACTTCTTTCTCAATAAAATTAATATAAAGATTTTAATTCATATTCATTAATTTATTGATATTGTATAGACCTGTTTCTGTTCCCATTGTTTGATTTTTCTTGTTTTTGCACATTTTAGTTTTAGCGATGTGAAAAAGTGAATAGTAGCTTAAATAGATGGCAAGACAATATTGGAAACCATATTTTCTGTTCAAAGTTACATATAAATTTAGTACACACATGATAAAATTGCTAATAAAGCATATATTATTTGATGAAAAACTGTATTAGATAGGTACCAAAAAGAGCCCAAAGCAACTCAATCCATTCTTGAAATCTTCATTTCCTCAACAGGGTGACATTTACCCATAATGCAGTGGTCTTTTCAACTATCTTCTACTTATGAATAAGCCTTCTTTACTCAGTGCATATTTTCAAATTTTTCTGACAAATATACAGTATAATGACCTTAGCAAATATTTCACCACCAGTATCCTAATACTTAATTGGGAGAAATTAAGTTTGTCCAACATGACCAGTTCTAATTGAAGCCATGCTAATTACAAGTCCTTACAAAATACTAATAAGATGATACAATTCTGTGCATCTATATCAAGTTTGAAAGAAGGCAAGTATTAAAATAGATTGATATCCTTACTTCTCTGTATGTCTCCACTCATTAAGAAGAATGCAATTTTATTGTCAAGAGATGTATCAAATGAACTTTAATTTTACTTTGAAAGACTAATTGTAACCCTTGTACATACAAAGTTAGGAAATTGAGATTTAAACATCTACTTTTCACTTCATTCCAATTTCACTCAAACCAGAACCAATTCTGTCAAGCAAACAGTGCATATATGTGTAAAAGGCCAAGGTTCTTCTCAAGGACTTCACTGCCTTTGCCCAGCGATACACAGCCTCTCCTCATCATGTCTGAGTTAGGAACTGAATTGTCCTTTTTCATTTCAATGTTATAAACATACTGCATAAGCACATGCAAACTGTACGCAGCACGATTTTCAACGTAGTGAGAACTATATGTTGTTTAATCATTTAGTAATTTTTAATCTGGCAAACTGTTATTTTTTCATTCATTCAATCTTCTTTGTTACTCCAGAGCTAGTCAGTGTTCCCATACTTGATTCAGAAATATTTTATTGAGAAGTTGTATTGCCTTGTTCTTTACTGGTTTTATTGGGTTTTAAAATATTTAAATAGTTGAAATTGCCCAGGTGACTACAGCATTCGGGAAGTTAGAGCTTATGATGTCTTTGGTAACAAATCAATCAGACTTCCGATCTATTGCTTTTTCTGCTTTATCATATCATATACTCTGTCAGGATACACTAATCCTTTGTCTACCACTTTGCTCCCTTAGGGAGCCCCATAAATGTCCCCTGGATTTTATTGCTGTAGTACACATGCTTCAAAACACAGACAAAAAGTCTTATCCTCCTAAACGATAAATGGATGTCACTTCATAAGTTTACGCAATAATATTTTTAGCATGAAAGTTAAGTGTGAATGAAAAACAGTGCCATGAGAAGAGGCACAAACAATTCAACTGTAACAACACCCCCAGAAATTCTCTCATGATTTAAAGTTAAAGATTAACAATTTAACTGAAACCATAATTATTTTCTAAACTGTATTTTAACTTACGGAATCTTGGCTAAATAAAAAGCACTCAAGCCTGGCGTGGTGGTTCATGCCTGTAATCTCAGCACTCGGGAGGATGAGGCAGGACCGTCCCTTCAAGTTTGAGACCAGCCTGGGCTACAAAGTGATCTCAAGGCCAGCCTGAACTGCATAGCAAGACCTTGTCGCAAAAAGACAAGAAAAAAAGTGCTCACATGTTATAGTTTCCACTCATTGTTTTCCATATTTCATACCCCAGATCATCTTGTCACTACTTCAACATTTACTAACTCACTCAAGTCTACAAGCTGCTGAGTTCTTATACATAGCGGTTGCCCCAAGTCAGTTTCAAGCAGGGTATCTTATTGCTGGTTATCATTACCAGGAAATAGTTTCAAATCACGGGTCCACACGTTGAGAGAAGAACGTTCATCAGTCAGGAATAACCCACTTGTTAATGCCCGAGGTTAGTTTGGCAGGTAATGACTTTCAGTAGTGAATCATTCCCCCGCTCTCCCTCTCTTTGCTCCTTAGGCCTCGCGGTTGTGGCGCGGGCTCATCCTGTCCCTTCAGTGTCCTCCCAGCCACGCATCCACCCACTCTGCACCCCTGAGCCAAACGAAAAGCCCACCTCAGGAGCCACCACTTTCCCCAGCCTCCTGTTCTTCGCGTATTGGCGAAGTCCAAATTCTCTAACTTTGTGACCCCTCCCCCGAATGTTAGCCGGACAATTAGCTTCCCTCACACTTCAACATCCACTTCATTGTGTACCTGGACAGGGGAAGAAAACGCACCTGTCCACATAGGATTGGAGAGCCCCGCTTTCTTCAACCCGCTTGTAACGCGCCTCCGATCTTTTCAGGGCTACTTCCTCACCGGTGTGGCCCAATTTAACTAACACCTGGGGAGGGGGCGGGCGCGGCGTCTTGCAGCGCCCTATTCTGACGCAGTCACTCTCCAGTTACCCTCCTATCAGCCCCTTGTCTTTTAATTGCAGCTTTTGCCTCTGGTACCTTCTTATTTGCACCTTTCATCTCCGCCTGTCTTCCGGGAAAGCTGTGCGAAGCCGGCAGGTGCCCTGTCTGCTGGTTTATCTTTGAATCCTCAACCAGAACTGACGATCATTAAACACCCATGAGCGAGCGAGAAGGTCCCTAACTGACCATTCCTGTTCGCACTTCTGCCATCCAGATTCATGCTTGTAGAGGAGTTTTTACTTCTCGCATGAGTGCAGATAAATCAGAATTTTAAAGTAAATCTTAAAGACATTTTGGAAACGTAAGCAACATCTGGCGGGGCGACAGTTTCGGCATCCGCAAGAAGCCTTTCCTCTAAAGTAAGCTGGTTGCTGGTCTCTATGTCAGCATCGCTGGAAAATGCTGGCCTATTTTTGGTGGTTTGTTCAAGAACTGGAAACATCTGGGGCTGATGTCTTAGCAACTCCGCCAGTGGGAGTGGGAGCGAAGACGCCCCAGGAAGATGAAGGCAGTTTGGTGGAAGGAGAGAGCAGCCTCCTTTGCAGCAGGATGCTTTGTTCCTGGAGTGTTACTTAGAGGTTTTTTCCTAGAAAGTCCTGTCTGCGGATCCCGCACACGGCGGGAGCCGCGCAGCCCCGCCCCGCGCGTCTGGCTCCGCCCCCGAGCTGTTCCTCCTCTGAAAGTTGTGGTTTCAGGAGCGGCTCGGCTGGTCCCTCGCACGTCACCCCGATCCTTTTAAAGGTGGGGATCATGACGGAGCGCGCGGGCGAAGAAGGCGGCGCTGCGGGCCCCGAGTCGCGTTGACATAGTAACCAAGTCGGGGCTCAGCCTGCGCGCTCTGCCCCGAGCGGCGCCCGCGAGGTCCCGAGCCCGGCGCCCCCTGGAGCGGCGCCCCCAGCCTCGCGC